TATAAATTCAAAACGAGTAATAAGTCTATGTCTTGTTTTTACAATGCTCGATGCGACATCAATACTGTTGGATTTTAATATAATTTTGACGCGTCAAAGTAAAAAGAATTTTAATGTACGTGATAGTGATGAGCGTACGTTAAAATTGTTTTTATTTTAACACGTCAAAATTATGTTAAGATCCAACAGTATCGATATCAGATCCAGCATTGAAAAAATAAGACATAGACTTATTACTCGTTTTGAATTTCGTTCCCTTATGGGAAATTAACACTTGCTCATAGCTGGCTCAATTTCATTGTTATTAGCTGTATATAATATATATTATATCCATATATATATCCATGTGGAAATTCCGCAAATCTTACAACACTGGATTCAAGTGCATGTTGCATCCTGACCTGAGTTCCACTTTTCCTCACCAGACGCGCTGGGTCGAAATTCCGCAAATCTTACAACACTGTCAGTCCATGCCCAACAGTGTCCACTGCTGCTGTCCTCTCACCTTTCACCTCTGTCCCCTCTGTCGTAGAAGGAGAAGGCAAGACGAGTTGTCACGTTGTCAGATAGTAGTACGAGTAATTATTAAAAAGTAAAAATGTATGCGGTTCAACGCGTCCTTACGAGATCACCGAAGCTGCTCAAAGTAACTGAAAGTCAGTGCAGGACAATTCTCGGTACTCCTCCCAGAGTGCGAGTATCTTTTGCTGTGAGTATATATTTTGATTATAACATTACATAATAGTTTATTATTAACAACTTTTTGATAATTAGAAGTAAAGTATATAACATAGATTTATATTACATTAGAGAGTATTAAGAATTTACGTTTAATTAAAATTTCGGTATCTTTTCCGCCTGTATTTATATTAGAAAACCGTGTATGTGTTAATAAAATGATAGGTTAGTTCATATATACATACAAAAGGATCCAATTAAAGCTGCAAAAAGTTGGATTGACTGAAAATCTTTGAAACAGATCAAACATACTTATCATAGACATTTAGTTGAATAATAATTTCAACCAAGATATTGGAGACATTTAGTTAAATAACAATCCCAACCAAGATATTAGAAACATTTAGTTAAATATCAATCCCAACCACTATATACTGTTACACAATTAGTAGTTACAAGATTTTTTTTGTTACAGGAAAAAATGGCTATGGGTGCAGCACTTTGGCTAGGGCTGATGACCATTCCATTGTACATTTCATGTAATATAAAAAATTACAACGCACACTCAGAATCAGAATAAATATATGTAGTTGTATTCTTAAGTTTGTAAATTAGGTATCGTAGATGAATGTAACTGGATTGTTTGAACTACATAAAGTCAAATAAAATTGTTCGTCATCTCTCGAAGGACTGTACTTACGATCTGTTCACTTTGCATAAAAATTGATCTTTATTCCACATGTGCCTATGCATAAATTTATTATACAAACATTTGCAGTCTTACATATGTAATTATACAAAAAATATAGTACCATGAACAAAGATCAGAATCTATGTGCTATAGTAAAAGTGTAAATGTAAATATATTAATGGAGTTTTATAAAAGAGTATCAACTGTGCAAGCCTAATTAACACTTGAGGAGTCTAAGCTACAATAGAAATAAAGGCTAAACCGTACCCCAGATTATTATTTGATTTGCTCTAATCAATGTTGAGTGACTAGAAAGAAGAAAAAAGATATTCTTTGCACATGTTCATTTTCAGCGAATAATGCAAGCGAATATTTGTTTAAGTATATAACAATGTTAAATCTGTAAATTCCATTGCTTGTAAACACGTTTACTATAACATATGTACACATATATAAACAGTAATTTATAGTCGAGTTAAAAATCATTATATCGATGACGGTTGCTTTATGAAATTTTATGCTATTAAGAATGTCACAGTGGGGTAGTAAAATATCAAATTCGTGAAATTGCAAATTCTGTCTAGGGTTACTATACACAGGCTTGAGCTTAATTTAATTTGTTTCTATTTGCACCGTTAAGTTTCTACTATTACGAGAATTATAAAAGTTGACCTTAAATCTACTTATATGCTGATAAATAGACTGCAGATGTTTATGCAAATCCATATTTTTATAATTAAAATTAAAGAAATGAAACGCATATAAACATCTACTCTCTCGTCTGTATAACTTGGATTTTATTTTTGTACATATATTTCTAAATACTGTGTTTCTTTAAATTCCCATAAATGCAAGAACATCCGCAATTTATTCATAAAACTAATTTTTATTTATCCATGCGAACTTTACGACAGTAACTAATATTTATAGCATATCGTTAAGAATCTCAGGTGAACCATCGTTTACAGTTTGCGATTACATTACAGGTATGTAAAATACTTCAACATTTGCAGTTTCGTTGTAATTGCTCAGTTTTGAAATAAGCTCGATATTGAAAAATAATTTTTTAATTAAATCAATCACGAAGCGTATGGGACGGATCCTGTTCTATCTTTTTATATTTACGATGAAGGACTAAAATAAACTCTGGTCCTGTTATCACGATTCGAATACTCAACGATTGAAAATATATCTTCTATTGTGTCGACCGTGTCTCCGTTTTTTCAAACACGTGGCGCAACATTTTTCTTGTACGATCGATGACACGTCGCACATGCGTCTGTATATCGCGCACATTGATGCCGGGACGATAGTATCCTTGCAATCTGAAACATTACACATACCCGTTGAATTCGTTATTGTGTAATATTACTTGTTATTTATATTATATGCAATTTATTTATTTATTATATAGTCCAATAATAAAAAAACTTTTAATTTCTTGTTTCGAAAAATTGGTTGGATAGTAGAAATATTATCGTAGCTTCTTGCGTGAGGACTTGCGTTCTTGCGTTTGATTTTATGTAGTGCGCGTAGAAATGCAAAAGGAAGAGCGCGCAGTAAATAAATAAATAAATACAAGTGCAATTACCGGATTTATCGTTGGCGCATTGCCGCCTGTGATAACACCGCTTCGTATCGATTGGCCTTCTCTCGGTGTTGCATTCGTCGGACAGTAACTCCGTTATACGGTCACGACACTCGACCTCCCTGTGTTTAACGCCGATCCTGGTCTGACAGGTCGCGTTGCACGATTTCCATTTTCCTATAAGCACGATAGAATAGTATAATAAATACGGCATAAGGTAAGAAGTAGAGCTCACCGGTAACCCATCGTGCGCCCTGACACGATTCGACAGTCGTCGGTCTGTTGTCCGAGTTGCAGTCTCCCTGCGTCGAACACGTCACCTTCCGGGACCGTTTCCCGTTCCAGCATTGGCTCCACTTCGAGACGATCCACTTTGACTTGGTGTTGTACATAGAATTTTCCGGATTCTCGTCGACCACGTTGTCGAATTCGAGAATCTCCGGTTCCTCGGTTGTTAGACTATCGACGATCGTGATGCCGTCCTGATCGCTGGAGCTCACGTTGTAAAAAGAGGCGTCTTTGCTGTCCGCATAAACGATCAAAGGCGGCTCGGTCGAAGTGCAGGGTGGTAGATTGGGACAGGGACCGACTTCCTCGGGCCTCGCGTTGCGATTACAGTCGTGATCGGGCAGGGCGAGGTCCGATCTGTCCGGACCCATTCCCGAAGAAACGCACATAACCGATCGCTTCCGAAGGGCCCCTTCTCCGCATGTCACTGGACACATCTGCCACGGTCCGACCCACCATCTAATCAATGTAAAAGATATTTGATTTGAGAAATGTTGTAAATATATTTCAAAACTTAATTTAAGTACAATTAATAAGACATCGTGGGACAAAAAATGTTTGCTTTCATATATTGTCGGCTGGGAGACGAAACGCAATAATTCACAATAATTCCCAGTCGACGATGTATAATTAATAAATAAATCAAAGGAGATCACAAAACTAGAGTGCAATACATTTCACATTCGTCAGACGAGCTTTTAAATTCGATGGATTTGTAGTTCGATTTTTGATTACTCGATGGAAAGGTTTACGTTTTACCTGGCCGGGCAGGGATTTAAATTGCATTCCCGCAAGATCGATTCCGGCTTTTCGATGGCTTCGCAAAAGTGATCCTCGACAACGCCACTCTTCTTCTCGTTACAAACCGCTTTCGAGAGTTGCGTGCCGCCACCGCAAGTGGCCGTACATAACGACCAATCGGAAAATAACCACGAGTACTCCGGGGCCCGGTCGGGCTCTTTTTTCGGCACGGTGTACTCGTATCGCAGTCCAAAATTTCGATAGTGTCCTCTGGAAATCAACTGTGGTGATGGGGCAGTGTTATTGAGAATGAGAAGAAACTAACTACGCGTATGTAAAGATTCGAGGTAAAGAAATTGGGTAGATTTTCAATTTAAGGGGCTAGGGTAGTCATTCGACTTCTCTAATATTTGTCGGTAAAATTTTGATGTTTTTTAATATCTAGAAAAAAATAGCGCAAAATATGATTTCATTTTGATTTCAGCATATTTTGATTAAAGAAAGACATCTTTTTTTGAATCGTGAAATTTCTGTATAAAAGTTTTTACTCATCTCCCAGAATTTAGAAAAAAAAAGACAATCCAGTGTTTCGTGGAACACTTTGTACATCTACATAATCTAATAAAGTACGTAGTTAAATATGCAATAGAATCAAAAGAGAACTTGTAGAACGATGTGAAATACATACGTAGACTGCGATATCTTCTTTGATAGGACCGGGAATTCGGACTTTTTCCTTATCGCGATCGCGCTCATAGAGAGCTGGTGTCCCGGCTACTTCGTATTCACCTGCTAAAGTTATCTGCCTATCCAATTCGAATGAAAATCATTACTTTACATACGCAGTGTATACATAACTTGTTTATCGTGTCATAACAAAACAATGCATGCATCTTCTTTAATGATGTATGAGCCGAAAGATCTCTATCTATCTACAATTTTCTACAGTGGTTTAATAATGTAATATCTAATAACTATTAAAATTTGAATTCTCATGTAAAGACTCATACAACTCTAAGATTGTTCTGCCCATAAGTTCACACATGTTTGAAATTATACAAATACTAATCAGCTATTAGCTATTATCGTATGTACTAAGCCCTCTAAATGTAAAATTAATAAGAAAATAAGAAGCTTGTTTTATAGTTACATCAATTTAAGATTAACATTTTAATAAAATGTAGCTGAAAACTTGTTAATTAATGTATGCAAGATAAGATACAATAAAATCATGTGTAATAATAAGATACCTCTTTCCATTAAGGAAGTATTTTTCAGAGTTCGGCACACCTATACCGATGTAATTTCTACTGTTCCCAATCTCTTCGATCTTTATATTCCTCGAACCTGTGGGAACTACGATAACTTCCTTGTAACCTGGCCCGTCGTTCTTATCGTAAACACCTCCCGTCGTTTCGCACTGTGTCCCATCCCCATGACAGATCCCGCAACGATCCTCCGTGGCATCCGAATCGACTGCCCAGTCACAGCCAACCTTCTGTTTAATAAAGATATCGAAACTACTATTTATATCGGAATTTTAAACTGTAGTAGCATTATCGGACACACTAAGGAAGAAAAAATAGACTGACGCGACAGATCCCGGCGATGCACATATCCCTGGTACCGACGTTGCATGGCGTACCGTCGAGAGCGGCTTCACCCCATGGAACAATCACGCTCTCCTCTGTATCGGTGCAGTATAATTCGCAGGGCTCCGCTTTAATCGAGGACAATATTTGTTAGTATTCAATTGATTAATATTTTCTCGGAATACCAAGCGAGTTGGTCATAGAATAATTTAACGACGCGCAATATTAAATGGGCAAATACATATAAACACACTGATATACTATGTACGCATATAAATTATGGAACGAAGGATTATCAGGTGTAGATCCAATGTTCATTTAATGATTTAGCAACGTACAGAAATAACTGATAATTTATTTAAATTAAATGTATGATGTAGAAACTATATTTCCTGCGTCTCGACGAAATGCTTCATATGCTTCTCCTAGTATAAGATTCGAATTCTAAATGGTCGTAGAGATGAAACGAGTGACTTACTCTGATCGAAGTAAGGCAGCCAAGTGTAATTCTTCCCTTTATAAGCCTTGTCGTCGTAATTGCTGCACTGGACCGCCCTGAAGCTGGGCGTTCCCTCTGGGCATGGTTCCGTATTACAGATCTTGTACCGGCGCCTCTCGCCGATGCAGAATTTACCCTCGTGCGCCGGTTCCGGGTGGTCGCATTTCCGCTCGACTATCGAGACGCCCGCGCCACAGGTCCTCGAGCACTTGCTCCACGAGCCCCACTCGCCCCATCCACCATCGATCTGACGGGGCCTGTCCACAATCGGTACGCATTCTTGGTTCTGACACCACTACGACAGCGTTACATTTATTTTTGGTAACAAGCGACAGATCACTGCTTCTTTTAATTATACTATTAATATAGTATAATAGTAAAAAAATTATGATTATAAATAAATTCTATTAATAATAATATGGCCGTTTTTTTGTAACGTAAGTAGATTTCTTATTAATGTATCTGGCTATTCGAGACAAAATATATAAAAATAAGAAATAGATAAAATTGTCAGTCAAAGATCATCAAAGTCATTCATAAGCCAAATAAAATAATTATTATTTATAGGCATGATAATAAATATTTCAGAAGATGTACACTAAAGCTTGTACGAGAAATTGACTTTTGAAATTGGTTCTACTTGAAATCTCTAAATGTATATTAAACCGCATAAAAATATTCGTACCATGTGTTTACCGCAATGTGTTCCAGGTGCAGCCGGATGAAGCATGGTGGTGCATGCCCCGTCGACGATGCACCACAGTTTCGAGCAGATCTGCGGACAAAATCATCGAACTCTATCCACTATACTAAAAATGTCTCGTAGTCTATTTACATATTTCTTCCTGTCACCTCTTGCAAGGGGGAACAGACGGAGGCCTCCTTGACGCCGAACTGAAGCCTGCACTGGTGTTCCGCGTTGTACATCGCGCCAGGTGGTAGGTCTGGATATGTGTAGTCATTGTCCGCGGGCTCGTCTTCTAGACATTCCCCTTTTCCTTGACTGGAAAAATAATTTTTTAATCATTTATGAATTATAGAAAAAATTAAAACGACTCCTTACTATTATTTACAAAATGAAAATTTATGACTTTTTAGCTGTATATATATGTGAGTTTATAATATATGTAGAATTTTATTAAGTAAGAAGGATATGGGAAGTTATCATCTTCTAAATGATTATGAAAATTGAAATCAGACTAGAACCAGAATATTTATTTCTTTACTGGGAGAAACCTTCTTATGCCTTTTATTGTATGTATTTTAATATTAAACTCACTCCAAGAAATTAGTGATATCTCTCCTAGAACATCTGGACCAAGCGACGCCGATGGTATCTACCTCGAAGGTCGGGGTCATCACGTGAAGGGTGTCACCATCCCGTTTGCTGCATCCGATCTTTTCTGTGTCATGGTACATGCCGAAGCTGTAACCGAAATCCAATCGTAAACCACTTCACTGATCAATGAAATTATCTTGAATGTTGGACTCTTTTTACGAACGTATTTAAATTAAGAGGAGTACAATGAATAAAATAATGAATTTTCAAGTGTCGGTCCAATAGTGACAAATTTTTATGTAAAATAAAATATTTATGGTAACAGTTCAAAAATATCTTTTATGGATTTTCATCATTTATCGTTTTTTATATCTTGAGTAGTTTTGTATATTTCATGCAGCCTTTCTGATTTCTGCATACTCCATTTGGTTATAAATATAAAATCTACGTTCATAAATATATAATCTGCAGTCTTCGTCTATTAGAAATACTCCAGATCTATTTTCTTTCACTTTTCCTTAATATAGTAGCTGAGCTATAAGAGTCGCAATTTGGGTATCATTGGGTTATTACTTATTAGTATATTTGAATAATTATTTAACTGATCGGGAAATATAAATTATTACATATTATATATTATACAAATATTAGTGGGTTGAAGGAGAGAATTATTTCATTGATTAGGTGAATTCGATTAAGAATGCTATGAGGCATTCTTGGTTCGAGTCTAATTTCGAATCCGCTGCGAACGTTTAGCAAATACGACACCGGGGAGTTTGAAGATGGATCGAACGCGTTCTCGCTCACTTGTGGCCCAGCTCGTGGGTGACGGTGTGCGCGAGCGTGATCCCATTGTCCTCGTTGACGCTGCAGCTGCGGTCCGGCTGGCACATTCCGGCTACGTGGGCCACTCCCAAAGTGCTGCACGGCGTGTTCGCCCTCGAGCAAATGTCCTCCCTTGTCACGAGGATCGCCACGTCATGATGATTCGGGTGCGAGTCGTCCGCCGGATTCAGTTTCTGTTGCCACTTGCAGAAATTATACAGCGTTTTATCCGCATTCACAGTTATGTCCAGCCCTTCCTAAAACCCATAGACCGCGTTATGAGCAATCGGACCGTGACGATCCGCTGAATACAAACGCGCGTACTTTTCATACGTCGCGCTATTCGACTCGAATCGATCCCACAGCGACGAGCATTTAACCCTTTAAATAATAATGATAAAATATGATAAATATGATTAAGTATAATATTACTGAGAGTGAAGACAGAAGTCGAGTTTGTCTCTACTTTCCTAATTATATGCAAAGCCTTTAATCAACTCTATGATGAATCCCTGTATACGTGTTCAATATGTATGCAAACGCGTAATCAGGAAGCTCTAGTTTGCTAACTGTTGAATATATCTGACACAGATCATCATCGGCAGGGGCTCGCACGTACCTCCGCGTCCTCTTCCTCGACGAGGATGATCCTAACGACGACGATGTTGATGAAATTCCCGATGGTCGGATCTAGGTAGAGAGACGACACCATGTTCATGATGGTCAGCAGATACGTCTCGACGTCGCCGTCCTGATGGAAAGCCATCATCGTAGTGTCAGCGACAACCAGGGCCTCGACGTGACGCGGCCGGCTGATCGATCTCCTGGAGCGTTGATGCCACCGTTTCGTCTGATGCTGCTTTCTTCGCCCCCGTCCTTGAACCTGCACCAACCCAGGCTGCGACTGCCATTCCAGCCGTGTTTCAGTCAACCGCCTCGGTTCTGTACATACGTAATCCATCCCCAGTTTTAATCGACAACATTGTTGAAAAAAAAATATTATTAAAGAAAGTTGTAATAAGGATATGAATTTTAATTGATTCTAAAATTGAATAATTCAATATTAGATTTTTTGAGTTGTTTTGTTTTTTAGATGGTAGAGAGATTAGTTTATTGTATGATGTACAGTACAGGATTAATAAATATTGACATGGGTCGGATTTATGATGAGAAATGTAAAGGGCAAAATTTGAAACAATTTTTCTTGTAGATCTAACGATGTTATATGTATGTACAAGTTTCATTAAAATCGAGTGAGGCTGTCATGATCCATATATAAACAATTAAAAATTAATCATCCTAAAAGTGAAATAAAATCAGAAAATTTATTTTTCGATACGTCTAATCTTTCTATGTTTTGATCGATTTTAACTGTGCACATGCCAATAACATCCGTAGATCTATAAATAGTATGTTTTTTATTAGAGTCGAACAGAAAACTTAGAAATTGTGCATTTTTTTCATAAATCCGACCTATAATATTTGCAACACCTGAAAAAAATTAATTCATTAAGTCCAATACTGAAAGAATCATTCAATTTTGAAATCTGTACGAATATTCATGGACTTTATTGCATGTTCATTGAATATTGTAATGCATGCAAAGAAATGGAATTTCGAATTTTTCAAGTCGTTTCGCAACCCTTGCTCCACCCCGTATGAATAGTTAATATTCTATTCTTAATTTACGAAGATCACTCAATCTTACAAGCGTTCATTAAGATTTCATCTATGCCACAAATAGACAGGTTTGTCGAAATAGATATTCATTGGGGTTAATGGTAGACGGAGATACGCGGCGAATTAGATTACCCGGTACTGACCACGCTATCAGCCCGTCTCGGTCTTACCTCCTCGCCAGATTCCCCGCAGCATCGGTTAATGTTTAATCCTGTCAATTTTGAGTGTGGCAATCACTGACCACGGATTCCGTTCTCGCGAAATTCCTAATCAAATTGAATTCGGACACCCCCACCGAAATTCGATTATCAATTTTGATTTACATGAATTTAAGCTGTTCCCATACAGTACGTGCAGTCGTATAATATGGAATTACTAATAGAGGCTGCTATAATTTCTGCTGTCAGAGGGAATTCAGTTATAATTGCTTTTGTACGTTAGTCGCATTATGTACCTGGTTTTTGATAATATCACATTGTTGACCAGCAATTTTAGCAGCATCTATCTCACGTCACCGGCTATTATTTCGTCATTGAACGTGCAAGTAAATCCGTTATAAAATATTATATCTCCGTTTCAAGTATTGTATTTCTATTTTATATATAGAAAACACTTTAATTTTCGGCAAAGATCAAACTCGTACATGTATTTTACCATCTAGCCAACGCGCTTCTGGCCATGTATCGCTATATATCCATAATTATCGCGAGCGAACAGAGACAGGCGAACCGATGACGAGATTTTATCGAAACGTTCCGCGACAGGCTCATAAATATTGAATCGCAATTTTTCTCAGAGCTGTCAAAGGCGTTCACGCCGGCAAAAGGACGAGCGCGAGATGTTGTCGGAACGCCCACGTTCTCTTCACCTCTATCGCGACGCAACGCGACGCGACGCGTCCAATTACATTATATGCGTGGAGGGCATAGATACTTGTAATACGCGGCACTGCGTTGGCGACATGCGCTGGAGGAGCCCGTTCGTAAGGAACGGGAATGGGAACGGGAACACGAACAATGACAAAAAGAAAGTTGTGGCGTAGCGAAGTTCTCACTTATGTCTTGGCACGGATAAAGAGTCTCCGACATTTTTATAGCTTTTTCTTCTTCTTCTTCTTCTTTTTCTTCAAATCAATTAGCTTATTAACTACTACCTCAGCACAGAAAGATCTAAATATGCAGATACAAGAGCAATACGAAAGACTAAGAGACAGGAGATACAATCCAAGATAGAAAACAACTGAACAGAGGCTGGGATACTTAAAAGAGAATACAAACACTAGTACTATCAAACCAGTTAAAATGACAGGTTTATAATGAAGACATGCATATATGTATAAAGAAGAGTCGATAGTTTTAGTGTTAAGAGACCAGAAGATAGTGACTAGATTTAAATGTGGAAATGAAGAGAAGATGAATAGATATTGGAAGAGTGCACAAGAAAAAATATGTCGCTTATATGCTTAGGTCATCAAATGTAACATCCCTTTCAAGGATGCAAGGCATGAAACAAACTACTATTAATGCAGTATGTGAGTTAGAGTTAGGCAGATATCCGGAGATAATTATATTGCCATATTGTGAGGATTCAGTACCACGATTTCTTTTGATAATCAAATTAGTATATAAAATTTCATTTCCAAAAGTAATTCACGATTGAACTGCGTGTACGTTTATGCAGATACAAGAGCAATACGAAAGACTAAGAGACAGGAGATACAATCCAAGATAGAAAACAACTGAACAGAGGCTGGGATACTTAAAAGAGAATACAAACACTAGTACTATCAAACCAGTTAAAATGACAGGTTTATAATGAAGACATGCATATATGTATAAAGAAGAGTCGATAGTTTTAGTGTTAAGAGACCAGAAGATAGTGACTAGATTTAAATGTGGAAATGAAGAGAAGATGAATAGATATTGGAAGAGTGCACAAGAAAAAATATGTCGCTTATATGCTTAGGTCATCAAATGTAACATCCCTTTCAAGGATGCAAGGCATGAAACAAACTACTATTAATGCAGTATGTGAGTTAGAGTTAGGCAGATATCCGGAGATAATTATATTGCCATATTGTGAGGATTCAGTACCACGATTTCTTTTGATAATCAAATTTGTATATAAAATTTAATTTCCAAAAGTGATTCACGATTGAACTGCGTGTACGCTTGTACTAAGTAGAACAAGGAAAAAAGAGTCAGACGCGGGCGGCTAGAAGACAGGCTCGTACAATATAAAATTAGGTATGATCGTACCTTTCTCATGGAATAGTATCGAGAAAGGACAAAAACTCAACGAGAGAAAAAACATAAGCAGAAAATGAATATTAATAGAGATGGGTAACACAGACGACCATTGAGGAGCAAACAGCAAGCGGTGAACAGCGTGGATTCTCACCACGAGTGCCACAGTTCCTCTCGAGTTTTCTCTTCTTTTTTCGTCGCCGTTTAGCTCGGCCGATCTCGAGCTGCGGTTGCTCGGCTATAGACCTGCGGAACACGAGATGCGGTCTGCCGAGGCTCGTCGAATTCGAGTTCCGGTGCGTGTCGGCGTCGGCGTCTTCCACCCGGACCCGCTCCCGTTGTCGTTCCTCCTCTTCCGGGGACACAGCCACTGGTTCCAACCAGAACTCGCCGTGATCACCATGAAGCACACCCGCCTGAAACATGAAACTCGGTATTCTGTTACACGGACTCTTTGTTCTGGCCTCACTTTATCCGCGGCCAACCATTATGGCTATTACTTGTACCGGGACCGGGACGAGACCGTTCCTACGTATTCGCGATACTTATTGTTCACGAGTATCAGAACAATCAGTTGTACTTGTATACAATAGACTGCAGATTTTTAGATAAAATAAAAGATTTATAGTAAAAGTTTAAAAAGTGTGATTTAGAGATTATCATCATATATATTTAAACATCGAAATATTCAATTTTTTTGATATCCTGAATAATTTTATAGATTCTATGCAGCATTTCCAATTTCTGCACATTACATTCCGTTAAGCATGCATAAAGGCTGCAGTCTAGTGATTGAATTCGTGGCTAGTGTAAGAGACAAATGAAACTGTTAAATTAAACATGCCTAAATATTTAAAACGAATTCATAAACTGTCATTTAGTTTGTGTTGCATACCAATGTTTCTTAGTATTTCAGTTAGATATGGGTACCCTATCTTCTATTTCCTATGCTATGTTACCGTCATATGATTTCATTACTTGATTCATACCTGCAAACTTTATCTCATCTTCGAACTTTGCCTAAGCTATATCATTCTTGTACCTGTCCTCATCATATAATTCTTAAACTACAACCTTGATATTTCTGTTATTTCAAATTATAATCTAAAATGCAGTCTATATTTTATTATGCTTCCTCTTAGTTTTTAGCATTTTTTTCCTCTTAGCTGCAACTCCCGCAAAATAAAATTATAATCTGCTGTCAAGAGATTTGCTTGTCTTCGTGTTACCGCGTTAGTCGTATTATTATTAATAGAGAATTAACGGAATACAACATTTGAAATTCGATGCGTAATTCATAAAACACATGCGTACATGAATATAGATTTCGATGCCGGTACAGATTAGGTACGACACGTGCACGTATACGAATCTACGTAGTTGCATCGTTTCATTAATCATCTTCGATCATCGACAGTATTCATCATTTACTGTCAAGTGCCGATTAAATGGAAGAACACCCGTCGTCTGATATATGTAATTCTCGTTTTATTTTTGTTCTCTCTCGTTTCCACGTGTTCCATGTATCCTGTCTTTCGAGCACGCAATATATCATTAATTTCACAAGAGTCCGAAAATCTATACCAATCTTGGTTGTCAAGAGGACAGAAAAGAATAAAGAGATCGTCGAAGAAGAGAGAGGGAAACGGAAGCGTGGAGAAGAATGAGTAAAAATAGAAAAGATATAAAAGTGAGTGACCAACGAGAGTATGGGCAACAGGAAAAAAACCGACAGTCAAAAACTCCTAAGTCTGGTCGCCAAATGTGAAAAGTAGTAGAATAATAAAATGATAAAATAGAAAGTTGAGAAGACGTAAAAACGAGAAAACGGAAATACACAAGATAACGTAGCAAATACGAGTCGATAAATCCATGAAGATAAATGCCTCATCTTTCCATTTCTAAGTCTCTTTAAAAATTTTTAAACATTCAATAAAACATTTCAATAAAACATATAGCAACTGTCCTGCAGAAGACAGTCGTATCTGTCAGTATAAATAATGTCCCAATTTTTATTCTGATGAATCGCTTAAAGATTATATATAAAATTATTAAATTATATAATTTTAAGAAATCTCCTATACTAGTTTTATAGGTTTCAGTTGTATTTAATAGGATTCGTGCGATGGTTTCTCGAAGGCTGAATATCGGCTATTAAAAATGATGGCGCCAACTGGACAAAGGTACAGGGGCACCGTTAAGGGACCTGGGACCTCTTCGGTGAAAAAGGTTCGAGCGTGATTCAACGCCGCATGGGGTCTCACGGCCTCGAGGCTCCGCGCTCTTCTTTCCCCTTCCCACCCGTCCTCATCTTCATCCGCTTTTTTGCACCGTTCCTTTTCATCTTACGCGCGCAGAAACCTCGATCGGCTTTACCTATAAGGAGTGATTTGTTGCCGCGACATGGCACGCCGTCTACTGCGCCACGCACATTGTCATTGGCTTCGTTCGACGATTTTTTTCCTTTCGTTCGATGCCGCTTTATATATTTACTCCCGATGTATCCATCGATTTAGGGAACGAGAAATCTTGAAAAAAGTCCCATCACCATCAAGCAGACGCATTCGAAACAGTCGATTAATGTTTTTATTTTATTTGTAAGGAATTTATATATGACATAGAAAAATGTTCGTAACACATTTACAATCAAATCACAGGAAATTGTCTATGTACGACACGTGGCATATTCGAAGAGAGACAGATTCGAGGAAAGAATTCATTGAAATTTATTATCGAAACTTTTAGAAGAATGGCGATAATTCTCGTAACTCATCGTTATGATCAGGGAAACGTGCGAGCATGAACTACTGTATGTACAAAGTGGTGGATTTATGACGTCCGAGAGAGCCAACGTGCTTCCATTCGGAGAGAATTCAATTCTACTTTCTATCTTCTCCGGTTCGGTCATCGAAGAACTCGCAACACCATTTCGCTGGAACGAACGGCGAGCAAGTTCGGCCGTTACTTTTTTAATACCTTCATCGGAGGTTCAAACGACGCGGTTTACATAACAAACGGTATAATTTGCAGCTTCTCGTTTAAAATTCATGAACTGATCGAACGTTAAATTTATTTGTAAACTCGATACTTCTGAGTTTGATGACCGCTAACTGGTCCGGACTGCATAAATTGTCATTCACCATAAATCCTCTCAGCGATTTACAAGTGCAACCGGTTAACTGGAAAACATTATATGTATTTACTGTAACTCTATCCCTCTAAGGTCGCACGTATTTCATTCGACTGCTTCATCTAACTAATCCGGATTTACCGCGGAACGAAGACGAAGGCATCTCATCAATTGCATATCCGCGTTTCTCGGGAGGATTAATCGAGTCCCATTGTTGCACTTGTGTCTTAAATTGCATGTTCTGTTCGTACGGTTTCTACATATTACAGAGTGCTTCGTTCTGCAGTGGATGTACACAGCCGGAATTATCGAGCAATATAACCATTATTGTTAAAATGGATTATCGTGTCTATTATACATTCTTGATACATACAGGTACGTTCTGTATAAATCTTAATACATACAGTCACTCTAAATCTTAACAGTAACTACAACGAGGTGGGCTTACATAAAGTGAATCTAAGGCAGAGTTGGGGAACCTTTGTGCCACTAGAGGCCATATTTAAATTGGGCAGTAATAAAGGAAGCCGCTATAATTTTTGTATTTCACTGTTGACTTAATTGATATCGGTAGAATTGTTACAGCAATTAGTGAATTACCAAATGGAGAGGCAGTAGAAGTGCGACTTAAGTAGACAATTCCGTCGTAGTCAGACAATACGTAATTAAACAGACGATGAGAGATCGTTGACCCAGCGACCTGGATCTTCGCGAGCCCGTTATTTCGCGTATAATCCAATCAGAGTTAAATATATATTTCCGTCACGAGATCCATTACGACGCGATGATTCCCATTCGGACGTCTTTGTTCGCTTAATTGGCCCGCAGTTAACCATTCTACGGGCAATGTCCGAGCTCTCACGATGTCTGTTTCTACGATCCGAGTAATTCTGAACATCGGCCAATAATTTACGACCGGCCACGGCAATGCGTTATGCGTTATGCGTTCCGCGCCCTCCTCTTTGCTCGCACCAAGGCGAAACCTCTTCGTATCTGTCACACCTTCCTCTAATTGCCACGAGCACGCGAGCCCCTATGCTCACGACACGCCGTTCGATTCCGAGAAATAGTAACGTCAAAAATTGAACACAAAGATTTTACCGCTGATTTATTCTCGCACTAAAATTCATCATCCTGGTTTTCAAATTCCATTAATTTACAAAATATATAAACGTTAAAATACAGTTAAGACAATAATTCATTGGTCAATCAATTCTCCCATATTCATAAGAATTAGAATTGGTAACTGTAATACATATTTAGCTTTAAGTTTCTAAGTTTTTACTATGCTCGTTGTAAAAGATTGTATAGACATAATTCCAAAACAATAAAAAATAAATACAATACTTCTATTATTTATAATATTTTCTAACATCTAAAAAACTAATAAAGACCTGAGTCTTTCATTCAGTTCTTTACCCTTTTATCCCTAAAAAATTTCAGTTCAGGCATTTGGGTCATATCGTAGTACAGCCCGAGAAACTTGGAGAGTGACGAAGGTCCTGTGAGCTATAAACAAGCTGTGTAAGCTACTCGGATAATTACACAGGTTGTATATGCGCGCGATCGAGGCAGAAAGAAAGTAAGCGGAATGAGAAGGCAGACCCGTGATCGTGGTAGGTGGGATTAGCATAACGCGGCGACGTTTGGTATTAGTTAATTGCTCGCCGAGCAGTGATTATTGTCGGCCGACGGGGCAGCGATACGTCGCGATCGTTATGGCTATCTAACGGTGCAACCTAGCCGTTCGATAGTACAAATTACATATGTATATACATATGAATTATTATTGTCCGACCAACGAGGTGCATCGATGGGCGGTCGCAATGCTCATGACGCCCATACTCGCTGTTCATAGACAGCTATTTGAATCTGGCACATATGTATTTGAAACGTGAAATGGTTGTTTATTCATGTGAACGTACTTACGAGACCGTCAAACGATAACTGGGATGGAATAATTAAGAATATTTTGCATGCTTTAGTATTGATTTTTGGTATACTTTTTCATTAGCATTTGAAATTTCGTATGAGATTTCTTTGGTTATAGAGGGTGTCCCACAACTCGTGGTACATTTTTTGATGAGAGATTCTTGAGGTGATTTTAAACAATATTTTGTAATATTAAACAGTATTTGTACACGAGGATATACGAAAGATCTACAAATTTTTTATTTCTATCATTTTAAATTAATATCTTAAATCTTTAGATTGGATTTCTTAAGATTGATATTAATATTTTTTTTATTATCGTTTGGAATCTC